ATTTCTGGGTTCTCTGTTCTGTTCCAATGGTCTGTCTGTATGTTCTTATGCCAGTACCAGGTAGTTTTAAGAACAGTGGCTTTGTAACATAGCTTGATATCTGGTATTGTGATCCCTCCAACTTTGTTCTTCTTTCTCAGGATTTCTGCTGCAATTCAGGGTCTTTTTTTATTCCAGATGAATTTTTAGAGTGTTTGTTCTAGGTCTATGAAATATGCGGTTGATATTTTAATGGGGATTGCATTAAATCTATAGATTGCTTTGGGTAGTATGGACATTTTAATGACATTTATTCTACCAATCCATGAACATGGTATATTCTTCCATTTGTTTATGTCTTCATCTATCTCTTTTTTCAATGTCCTATTGTTTTCTGATTGCAGGTATTTTACCTCTTTAGTTAAGTTTATTTCTAGGTATCTTAATTTTTTTTTGGTGCAATCGTAAGTGGGATTTTTTGTTTGTTTGTTTGTTTCTCTTTCTGTGAGTTCATTATTGGTGTATAGAAAAGCCATAAATTTCTGGGTATTAATTTTGTATCCTGCTATGTTGCTGAATTTATTTATTAAATATATTTGTTTTTTGATGGAGTCTTTAGGGTTTTCTATGTACAATATCATGTCCTCTGTGAATAATGACAGTTTTACTTCTTCTTTTCCCATTTGGATACCTTTTATTTTTTCTTCTTGTATGATGGCTATGGCTAGCACTTTCAGTACTGTGTCGAACAGAAGTGGTGAAAGTGGGCATCCTTATCTTGTTCCTGTTCTTAGGGGAAATGGTTTTAGATTTTGCCCATTGGATATGACATTGGCTGTAGGTTTGTCATATAAGGCTTTTATTATGTTGAGGTATGATCCCTCTATTCCCACTTTGCTGAGAGTTTTTATTAAGAAAGGTTGTTAGATTTTGTCAAATGCTTTTTCTGCATCAGTTGGTATGATTATGTGATTTTTGTCTCTCAATTTGTTTATGTGATGTATTACATTTATTGATTTGGGGATATTGTACCATCCTTGCATCCTCGGAATAAATCCCACCCGGTCATGGTGTATGATCTTTCTAATGTAATGCTGGATCTGATTTGCTAGGATTTTGTTGAGGATTTTAGCATCTATGTTCATCAAAGATATTGGCCTGTAATTCTCTTTTTTTGTGGTGTCTTTATCTGGTTTTGGGATTAGGGTAATGCTGGCTTCATAGAAAGAGCTTGGAAGTGTTTCTTCCTCTTGAATTTTTTGGAATAGTCTGAGAAGGATAGGTTTTAGTTCTTCTGTGAATGTTTTGTAGAACTCCCCTGTGAAGCCTTCTGGCCCAGGGCTTTTGTTTGCTGGAAGTTGTTTGATTACTGCTTCAATTTCCTCCATAGTTATCAGTGTATTCAGATTATTTTATTCTTCCTGATTGAGTTTGCAAGGTCGTATTTTTGTAGGAATATGTCCATTTATTCTAGGCTGACAGGAATAGAGTTCATATTTTTTTTACAATCCTTTGAAATAGAGTTCATATTTTCTTTACAATCCTTTGTATTTCTGTGGGGTCTGTTGTTATTTCATCTCTTTCATTTCTGATTTTGTTTAATCCTTTCAAAGAACCAGCTCTTGGTTTCATTGATCTTTTGTATTGTTTTTTGTTTGTTTGTTTTGTTTTGTTTTGTTTTTGTTAGGCTATTTCATTCATTTCTACTCTGATCTTTATTATCTCCTTCCTTCTGCTCACTCTGGGCTTTTCTTCTTGCTCTCTTTCTAATTCCTTAAGTTTTAGAGTTAGATAATTTATTACCAGTTTTTCTTGTTTTTTTGTTTGTTTGTTTGTTGTTGTTTTTTTGTTTTGTTTTTTTGAGGTAGGCCTGTAATGCTATGTACATCCCTCTCAGGAATGCTTTCACTGTGTCCCATAGATTTCGGATTGTTGTGTTTTCATTGCCCTTTGTTTCCAGGATGTTTTTTATTTCTTCTTTGATCACGTTGGTAACTCAATCATCCTATATAATAAAAGGCTAATATGCAAATCGACTGAATGGCGGAATGACCGGTTGCTATGATGTGCACTGACCATTAGGGGGCAGACACTCAATGCAAGAGCTGCCGCCCAGTGGTCAGTGTGCTCCTATAGGCCGAGCGCTGCTCAGCCAGAAGCCGGGCTCATGGCTGGTGAGCACAGCAGCAGTGGCAGGCGCCTCTCCCACCTCAGCAGCAGCACTAAGGATGTCTGACTGACATCTCCTGGATTGTGAGAGGGCGCAGGCCTGGCTGAGGGACACCCCCCCCCCAGTGCACGGATTTTGTGCACTAGGCCTCTAGTTGTTTAATAACATGCTATTTAGCTTCCAAGTGTTTGAAATTTTTTTGTTTTTATTGTAGTTGATTTCTAATATGCCATTGTGTTCTGAGAAGATGCTTGATATGATTTCAGTCTTTTTGAATTTGAAGAGAGTTTGCCTGTGTCCCAGTATGTGGTCTATCTTTGAAAATGCCTCATGTGCATTTGAGAAGAATGTATATTCTGTACCTTTGGGGTGAAATATTCTGAAGGTGTCAATTAAGTCCTGATCTAGTGAGTCGTTTACAATTGCTGTTTCTTTGCTGATTTTTTTGTCTAGATGATTTATCCAGTGATGTCAATGGGGTATTAAAATTCCCTACTATGATTGTATTGCTGCTGATCTCTCCTTGATATCTTTCAGAAATTTTATTTTATTTTATTTTTGTATTTGGGTGGTCCTGCATTGGGTGCATATGCGTTTACCAGAGTTATATCCTCTTGTTGTAGTCAATCCCTTTAGTATTATGAAGTGGCCTTCCTTATCTCTTGTTAACTTAGAGGTCTATTTTGTCAGATATCAGTATTGCTACCCCAGCTTATTTTTCATTTCCATTTGCGTGAATAATATTTTTTCATGTCTTCACTTTCAGTCTGTGTGAGTCCCTTGTTCTGAGGTGGGTCTCTTGTAGACATCATATATATGGGTCATGTTTTCTTATCCATTCAGCCACTCAATGTCTTTTGATTGGAGCATTTAATCCATTTATGTTTAAGGTTATTATTGATAGGTACTTGTTTGTAGCCATTTTTATTCTTTATGCCCGTGTTTCTTCTTCCCTTTCAATTTCTTGTTTTTACAACAGTCCCTTTAGCATTTCTTGCATTTCTGGCTTGGTAGTGATAAACCCCCTTATCCTTTTTTTTGTTTGTGAAGCTCCTGATTTCCCCTTCAATTTTGAATGATAGCCTTGCTGGATAGAGTATTCTTAGATTCAGTCCCTTGCTTTGCATTACTTTGTATACTTCATTGCATTCTCTCTGGCCTGTTGTGTTTCTGTTGAGAAATCATTTGATAATATAGTGAGAGATACCTTGTAGGTAACTCTCTGTCTATCTCTTGCAGCCTTTAAGATTCTCTCTTTGTCATTAACGTTTGCCATTGTAATTACGACATTTCTTGGTGTGGGTCTTTTTGGGTTCATCTTATTTGGGACTCTCTGTGACTCTTTTCTTCCTCAAATCAGGAAAGTTTTCTGTCATTTCTTCAAATAGATTTTGTAAACCTTGCTCCTCTTCTTGTACTTCTGACACACCTATTACATGGATGTTACTTCTTTACATGTTTTCTCAAAGCTCCCTTAGGCTCTTTTTCTAGGCTTTGTAATATTTTTCTCCAATTGCTGTTCAGATTGTGTGTGTTTTTTTCTGCCCTGCCTTCTAACTCACTAATTCAGTCCTCCACTTCTAGTCTACTGTTGAAACCTTACATTGTGTTTTAGCTATATCATTTTTATTTCCTCTTGATTCTTACATAAGCTGTTAATTTTCTCATCTGTTCCAGTTTATGAACTGTATAACCTTTACTCTAAATTCTTTTTCTGAAATACTGCATGTCTCCATTTCATTTAGTTCCTTTTCTTGTGATTCAGCCTTTTCTTTCCTTGGGGGGTTGTTTCTTTGTCTCCCCATTTTTGCTGTCTCTTTCTGGCCCTGGGTACCCTGCTTGGAGTTTGAGAGGTTGAAGACCCTATCAGGGCAATGGTCCTGAAATTGTTAGCCCAGAGGCTGGGTCTGCCTTGAGTCTCATACCTTTATTGTGTAGGCTCTGAGTTGTAGTCCCTTTTCCCTCAGATCTGGACCCTCAGTTGTCTGCTTCAGATGCTTGGGATGGTGTGAGCACGTTCACAGTTTCTCTGGTGTGTGATTCCCAGTGAGGACCCAGAGCCCTCTGACATGCAATTCACTGTGCGGCCCTGGAACTCATGGAAGGGTGGCACCCTAGGTCCCTCTGGCAGCGCTCTTGCAGCATGGTCCTCTGGCACCTGGCTGGGCACACCAGCTTGCTCTGGGTCACCCCGGCAGCGCTGTTCTGTAGTCTGGAGTGAGGCATGTGCTGGGTTCCTCCAGGTAGCCCCTACAGGACTGTCCCAGGGGCTGGGAGAAAGTGGGTGTGGGTTGCTCTGGGTCCCACAATCAGAGCTCCCTGTGGACCTAAGTGAGGCATGCACTGGGTTGCTGTGGGTTGCCCCTCCCAAGCTGAGGTGAAGCGGGCATGCATTGCTCTGGGTCACCTCATCAGGGCTGTCCAGGGGGCTGGGATAATGCCAGCACTGGTTGCTCTTGGTCACACAGGTTGCTCTGGGTTACACAGTCCCCACTCTCCTGTGGTCTGGAGTGGGGCATGCTCTGGGTTGGTCTGGGTTGCACCGGCAGCAGGTCCTGGGGCTTGGGGTTGAGCAGGTGCTGGGTGGCTCTGGGTCAGGCTAACAGCATGGTTTTGGTGTCCGGGGCATGGGTGGGGCACAGGGTTCCCCCTGGCTTGCACTTACTTTGAGGTCTTGGAGCCGGATCTTAGGATGCTGGGACCATGCAGGCTGGTAAGGAGGCCTGGTTCGCGAGCTCACTCTGGCAGTGCGCTCTCCCTGCGGACCTCTGGCAGCCTGCTGGTAGGTACTGCACCACTCACTGCTGGGGCACAGTGGTGGTTCCACACGGGTTATGGCTGGCAGGCGGCGTTCTCTAGGCATCTCTGCCCTTCCTTATTGAAAATTGTCTCTTCAGCTGTGTCTAATTTGTTAATTCAGGGTGGATGTTATCTGTATGAAGTAGCAACGAAAATAATTTTATGGTTGGGGGTCACCACAACATGAGGAACTGTATTAAAGGGTCGCTACATTCGGAAGGTTAAGAACCACTGCAAGGAGGAGGTGGACAATACTGCTGCCTATTCGGCCACCATTTTCTATTCTCCTCATTATTATTTTTGAGAAAGATAATATGTTAAAACAAGTAAAATAAAAGTATAAGAGTAATTAACTTCTTTCTGATAGCTACCATGGTTTGGGAGAGAATGTTTTTTCTTTTGTCGAGTGGGACTGGACTTTACCCAGGAATCTGAGTAGCCAGGTTAAACTTATTTTCTTTCAAACTGGCAAGAAGAGAAGATAAAGGAGAAATAATCATGGTACTTTGCTCAGTCTTCAGATATGCTCTCAAAGGGGGTTTCTTCCTAATCTCTTGGGTCATGCAACTCAACATGTTCTCTTTCTTCAGCCAAGCACCCAAAGCCAAAGCCATTTGCAGCACAAATGTTCTTAAACAGCATTCTCACAGCACATGGGGATGGATATGAGCAACCTGTTTCTTTCTCTGTCTCTCTCTGTCTCTCTTTCTCTCTGTCTCTCTGGATTTTCCTGGGTTGTATTCTCTGTATTATCTATCCTCCCAAAGAAATTATATATATATGACAGTTTCCATTTTCTGAATAAAGCAATAAATCAGAATATCTTTTATTTAAGGAAAGAAAACAAAACAAAACTTATTGAGAGCAGATGCATTGGTAACTCTTCTCTTTCACCCAAGAGGAGTAACATCATCTTGTGAGGTAGACTTTTCCATTTTGTAAAGTAGGGCCTCCTTTTCAAGGTTCAGAAACTGTGACTTTGTGGCATACTCAAGGTCCCTAAACATGGAATGTTCCAGTGCTCACTTGAAGGAGCTAGAGCTAACCTGAACCCCAACCTCTCTGAGGCTCAGTGTTCAGTGACTTCAGGAACACTGAGCATGGATTGTATTGTTTCCTGCTGATATTTTCATCTTCCACAATGTGACTTCCTTGTATGTTGCTTTGCAGAAAACTTGCTTTATTTGACGAATGGAATTCCTTGGCTGTTTATGTTTCAATGGATAACACAGTGGTCATTGAAGATATCAGTGAGTCCACAGTCTGTTTACCTTTCTGGGTTGTGGGTGATGAGGTCCTTCCTCACCATTCAGAAATCAGGAATGAGAGATAGATATATAGATAGATATGCAGGCAGAGAGAGGCACAGACAGAGGCAGATAGACAGACAGACAGATAGACATGGCTGGATCTTAGGATGCTGGGTCCCTGAAGACTGGGACACACACACACACACACACACACACACACACACTCACACACACACTCACACATGCACACTGGCTCTGACCTGCCCCATCAGGGCAATGGAGCTTAGGGGATCACAGAACCCTGGTTAATCATCCCCTGCACCCATTTTTTTCTCTTTCCTTTCAGTTTTATGAAAGGAAGAAAACAATTAGAGGATCTTTGCTGCTCCTCGGTGCGGTACCAGACCTTTTCCCTGCAGGACACCCAAGTGTGGATAATCAGTTAAACAACCAACATGTCTTCTGTGGAGACTGTCCCCTAGTCTAGCCCTGTGCTCCCCATTATGGGGTTAGAGAAACCAAAAGACACGGTCCCTCTCCCAAAGACCCTTGCAGACTAGTTGAGAAATGAGATTCTCTCAATGAGCCCATGATATCTGACAGGAGGTAAGGGAGTGCTCAATTGCAAGAAGGAAGAGAAGTAAGGGCTGGAAGAGTGGCCTGGGCTTCCTGTGGGAAGTGGGACGAGCTGGGTTCTGGTGGCAGACAGAGACAAAGGCCTTCTAGGCAGGGGGTGTCATGTGAGGTCTCCCTTAGTTTTGACTTTGGCATATCTGTTAGGGCTGGATACCTAATTTACCAGCTTTCTTGTCTTCTGTTTCTAGAAAAAATGTGCCGTGTCCTTCCCTTGAGTACTGATACAGACGGTGAGAGTCCCCCTGATTCTCTGAATGCTTCGAACCACAGTAAGGCCACCTCTGCCTGCTGCCCAGCCTGGAAATCCCTGCTGCTCATTGTGCCCCTCCGCCTGGGCATAAACCAAATCAATCCTGTCTATGTTGATGCATTCAAAGTAAGTCACTCCTTTTTCCGAGCCCATTGTTGCCTGCCCATCACATCGCCATGTGAGCACAGAGATCCGTGAGCAGCAGTCCACAAGTGAATTGAGAATCTTACATTCTCTTTCCCTCTAGGAGTGTTTTAAGATGCCACAGTCTTTAGGGGCATTAGGAGGAAAACCAAATAACGCCTATTATTTCATAGGATTCTTAGGTAAGAAAAGAGGAATCACAAGTAAGTCATTATGGGCTAAGGGAGGGCGGGCAGAAAGTTTGCATGGGAGACCAGGCAATTCCAATTAATGGGCCTAGTCCAGCCTGGAGATGCTGTGGTCTCTGGTCAGCTCCTTCTGTCTCTGGCCTGATCTGTGGAGAGTAATACTTCTGTGTGCCTGACATAGAGCAGATCCCCCTTGAATGTCTCCACTTCCTTGACTCTTTATAAGATGATTTCACACTGCTTTCCTACAGGACCACCTCAAGGTCACAGCATTGCTTCAGCTCATCTCTCTTTTTCCTGTGGGGCCCAGGGTGGTAGAGTGTCACTCTTTTGGCCTTGTTGATCTCTGTCTTACTGGGTCTCAGGCATTTAGTCCAGGGGCCATACTCTTCCTTCCCAGCTCCATGCAGCTGGGCCTGCAGGCTCATTGTTTAGAGCCATGACTTGATGGGAATTAGAAGAGGCAAAGACAGATATCCCTTTTCTGATAAAACCACTAATCTAATATGGACCCTAACAAGTAGCCTGACATTCCCTGCCTAGTTTGACACCTCTGGAAACCCAACCACCTTATCCACTAGCTGTGACCAGAGACACGTAAGGTCCTTGGCACACAAGGTGAGCTAGTCCAGTGCTTCTCAAATTTTAATATGCACAAGAATCACCTTGAGAATTTTTTAAAATACATGTTCGGTAGGTCTAGGGTAGTCCCTGAGAGTCTGCATTTCTAGCTAGGTAGTGCTGGTGCTGCTGGTACACACACTACACTTTGAGTACCAAGGGCCTAGACACCTGGTTAGTGCTGAAGAGCACCAGGAAGGGAGTGATGTGGTTAGGGAAATTTGGTACAGGACACCTCTCACAAGAGTGGAGTGGTCAGATACTGGACCTTGAAGAAGATTGCAAGGGACAGCCTTATATTATCAAGGGAGAACCAGAGCAGGTATGGGGGATGGTATGAGGGATATACAGAGGACAGGGTGAGGCATCTGACAGGAGGTAAGGGAGTGCTCCTTACCTTCTCCACCATCTCCTTGGAGATTCAGGGAGGTGATGTGGAGTGAAAACAAACATACTTGGTGTTGTATGTTAGTTTCCCAGTTGCTAGCTCTGTGACCACCAGAAGAGAACAACTCTCAATCTCAGGTTCCTCTTAATGGAAAATGGGGCTAACACCTCACTCACCATGTTGTCACATCAGAGTAGAGCATTCAGTAAAGAGTTAGGCATGTAGTATATACTCAATAAAAGGTGGTTCCACCCTGCCTGACCTCAACATCTCTTTCCTTTTTCTCTCTTTAAGTCTGGTGTTTCTATACAGTTGCCTCAGCTGCTCTCTCTAATGCTGCCATCTATTGGCCAAGCCTAAGAACTACAGCTTGATGGAAAATTGGGGGACTAATATTTTTCTAAGTACAAAAACGTAGTTATATAAATTTCAATGTCTTCTGTTTCTAAGTTTTTGGGTTACTGTCAAAGAAATGTTGCAAAAATCTATTTCTTATTATTTGTGTTTGAGGACAATGTTGACAACAGATTGGAAAATAATTTTGGAAGGATTTCAGTGAATAGGGTATGCCACTCCTGGGCTTCCTGGCCTCTCTTATCCCAACTTGCCCAGAAAGAATTTGCCAAGATCAAGAAGCTCTTCTGTTTCCTGAGGCCACTGGGGTGATTTTGTATAGTTTGACTACTCATGAAAGAGGTGTGGACAGTCCTCAGTGCCAAAGATAGAGGTTTACATAGTGCCCACTAACTCTCAAAAATCTTTTTTTTAACCTTCACTCCACAGTCCCCTCAACTTCCCTTTTCTGACTTACCTCCTAGTGTATTAGGTTGGGGGGTTCATATTGGTAGAATGTCTGAAGGGAGGGAATGAATGAGAACTGCCATTTTCTAAACAGCTGTTTTATGCCAGAGACTCTGCAAAGTTTTCTCTCTCTCTCTCTCTCTCTCTCATCTCTATCTCTATCTCTTTCAGTAGATAGATATGGATATAGACATAGACATAGACATAGACATAGACATAGACATAGATGTAGATATAGATAGTTATATATAGATCTATAAAAATAGGTAGATAATTATATATAGACTAGAGGCCCAGTGCACAAAATTCATGCCCTGGGGAGGTGTCCCTCAGCCCAGCCTGCACCCTCTCCAATCTGGGACCCCCTTGGGGGATGTCCGACTGCCGGTTTAGGCCCTGCGGGATTGGGCCTAAACCAGCAGTCGGACAGCCCTCTCACATTCCAGGACTGCTGGCTCCTAACCACTCGCCTGCCTGCCTGCCTGATTGCCCCTAACTGCTTCTGCCTGCCAGCCTGATCACCCCCTAATGGCTCCCCTGCCAGCCTGATTCACGCCTAACTGCTCCCCTGCCAGCCTGATCACACCCAACTGCCCTCCCCTGCTGGCCTGGTCACCCACAACTTCCCTCCCCTGCTGGCCATCTTGTGATTGCCATCTTGTGGTGGCCATCTTGTGATGATGTGGGGGCGGCCATCTTGTGACAACATGGGGGCGGCCATCTTGTGGCAGCCATCTTGTGATGACGTGGGGTGGCCATCTTGTGATGACATGAGGGTGCAAGGGCCACCTAGGCTTTTATTAGTATAGATGTATAGATATAGATATCGTTATGTATAGATATAGATAGATGGTTATAGTTATAGTTAGCATAACACCCCTGTGAGATAAAGATTTTTATTTCCATTTATACCTGAAGAAACTAATAGAGGGGATGTGTTCTTAAGAACACCCAACTAGAAAGTAGTGAAGCTGGGATTTGATCCCAGTTTGGTCATCCTTGTCTACCATACCACATTGCTTTCCTGATGCTCTCTTTCCTGAAGGGAAGCTGGGAGAAGCTCTTGCTGTGAGAAACTCTGGCCAAGGTGAGACTCTGACTGTCAGATTTGTCCTGCATAGAGGGGAAATATTTGTCTTCTGTGCTTTAGTAGGGGTTGCCACCTGGAGATCTATAGTGTGAACCCTGTGTTTGCAATTGGTTGAATAGCCTGCCTCTTCTGTTCAGGCCTTGTGAGAGACTTTAGTTTAGTTCCCACATCATTTCTAGGACTTTTTAGATTTTCTTTTCTTTCTTTATTTTTTAATCCTCACCTGAGGAAATTTTTCCATTGATTTTTAGAGAAAGTAGAAGAGAAAATATCCATGTGAGAAAAACACATTGATTGGTTGCCTCCTGCAGTGCCCTAATCAGGGCCATGGCAGGGGAGGAGCCTGCAGCTGAGATATGTGCCCTGGACTGGAGTGGAACCCGAGATCCTTGGGTCCGCAGGCCAACGCTCTATCCACTGAGCAAAACCGGCTAGGGCTAGATTTTCTCTCTCTCTCTCCCTCTCTCTCTCTCTTAAAAATAGTCTTTAAATTTTTTTTTTAATTTCAGAGAGGAAGGGAGATGGAGAGAGAGATAGAGACATCAATGATGAGAGAGAATCATTGATCAGCTGCCTCCTGCACACCCCCCGACGGGGGATCGAGCCTGCAACCCGGGCATGTGCCCTTGACTGGAATTAAACCCAGGACCCTTCAATCCGCAGGCCAACGCTCTATCCACTGAGCCAAACCAGCTAGGGCTACTATATGTCTTTTAAGCACTCTTGGAAACAGGGTACACAGGCAGATAGGATGCTGCTATTATTCCCAGCACCTTAATTAGAAACATTCTGGAAGAACGATGCTTAATTAAAACCCTGCTTTGGATTCCTATTTTCTTGTGCACAACTTCCTTCTCCTCTTGCCTCTTAGGCTTCCCTCTAAACATCCTGGTTATTGCTCTTCATTGTAACTTGAAGCCTTTTTGATATAACTGATGTCACCCACCCGTGGTCTGGGGGAACATGTACCTTGACTTTCATAAAATAAATCATATGGAAGCACTGAGTTTCATATACTCTCCAACATTTATTTGTAGAGAAATACTTTTGGATCTAAGCAAGATACTTCTATGACTTACTTGTATTTATATTGTGTTTTAGGCATTTTACAGAGGTGAATTCTTCTTGTTCTTATAATACCCTATGAGGTAACTGGAACAGGTCCAATGACCCCAGTTTAAAAACAGAAAAATTAAGACAGTGATTTAATAGGCTTGTCCTGGGTCTGTGATAGAGACAAGTTGAGCTTTCATCAGACATCATAAACATATTCTTTTCCAACAGAAGCACTTATATGTGCCCAATACACTCCTGGATGCCATTCCAGGAAAGGTCTTTAGGGAATCCCTTCCCAGCCCATCCTCCTGCTACAGGTAGGTATTTCTTTGGTTGCCTAACTCAGTCTAAAACACAGAAGCCTAGATGGTCCTCAGGCCTGGATAATGAGGTTAGGGTGTTCCCTTAGACACTTTTGCATACTCAGTATGCCACTGGTGAGCATTAGGGAAACTCTCAGCCCTTTGAAAAGTAGAGATTTTATTATCCTAAACCCCTCCCAGGTAATTATTGGGCTAGACTTTTTCAATTTAATGAAGCATGGTTTTTCTGTTATTTGTAAACATTGATAATCTCAAAGTGAGTTTTCTGAGCAAGGTATATCTGTAAAGAAGTTAATGTGACCAAGGCAGTGCTTTCCAACAGGGATTACTAACTTGCTAACAAGGACTAACTTGCTAGCTAATCAATACCAGAAGTTAGCTTCCTGGTATCTCATCCATAGCAAAGCCACCATTCCCATTTCTTTTGGAGGCCAAGGCCTTTCTCCTTACCAGATGTGCTCTCTGACTGTAGCTCTGAGAACCAATGTTCTGGAACTAGATGCTTTCCAATGTTGAAAGAGGCAGGAAACCCCCATTGGCACCTGAACTCATGGCCTGGTGATACTACCTACCACCTCTTTGCTACTGCTGCTCACAGAGCTTGCCATGTCATCTGTAATCTCTCATCCCCACCTTTTACCAAACCTGCTGCTTTCCATTTTTGGAGTTGGACTTTGAGGAGATGTGAATGCTAGGGCAAGTCTTTTCATTGAATGTTTAGATTTGGGTGTGGGTGGCTTCCTTAGGTATGCTCACCTTAACTCGGGCTTTCTATCATCTCATTTTCATTGTCACCAAGGGAGGGGTTAGGGAAACCAGAGCGCCTCCTCCCAAGGACAACAGTAGAGCCAGGGCAGGTGGTTCTTTGAAGGTTAAACATGCCTCATTCCAACAGGTGATGAGCTCATTTTCCTGGACCCTCACACAACCCAGACCTTTGTTGACACTGAAGAGGATGGAACCGTTGATGATCAGACTTTCCATTGTCTGCAGTCGCCACAACGAATGAATATTCTGAACTTGGATCCTTCCGTGGCATTGGTGGGTGTCTGAAGGTTGGGTGGGCTGTGAGATACACTGCCGCCCTATTACAGATTTGTTCCCTGGGTATTTTCCAAGTATATAGGTAGGGTGGCCAGAGTATATTAACTTACCAGCCCCATAAGAGGTAGTGTAGAATAGTGGGGAATGAGTGGACCCTGAAACCAAATTGCTCAAGTTGGAATTCAGGCCCTGCCACTTACTAGTAATGGACTTAGGGGGAGTCCCTTTACCTTTCTGAGTCCTTTGTAGGGTTGTGTGAGGTATGCTGTACATTGTGAATATTCAATAAATGTTAGTTATTATTAGCGTTATCATCTTTCACACTTTTCCTTCTCACCCTCTAATTATTGCCACACAGGCCAAGGGAATAATGTAGGGTATCAGTAGGGAGGGAGAAGGGGGCAAGATCCGCTGGGTAGGCAGTGCCAATTCTCTGGGCACACAATCCAGGAAGTTTCAGCCCCTCCTGCCCCTAAGTAGTATGGCTGCTGTCTACACAAGGTGCAGCTGCTGTGAAGTAGCCAGTGGTTCTGAGGCCTATCTGCATCCTTTCTTCTAATTCAAGGCACCAGTATCCAAAGAATCCTTTTTCCTTAGACCATTCTTTTGCTACTAGATGATAGCTCTGAGGATAGAGAACAAGGCTGATGGTTCTTTTTATTCTAATAATTTCCTTAAAGTAAAACCACCGTATTAAATATTGTCTCTAGCTAAAAGTACTATTTGGATTTTGTTTACTGGTTTAATTGACTCTTCTTTATAGATGTGTATATTTTTACACTAAATGTAATGGAATTAACCCTACACTGGAGATTGGGCTTTAAGTTACTATATCTCACAATATGAGGGGAGAGTATATCTCACAGTACGAGGGGAGAGGGATATGGAGGGAAAGGGACAAGGAGAAAATGGAAGGGTCAGAATAAGAGAGAGAAGCATAGATACAGGAGAAACAGAGGGAGAGTGAGATGGAAAGACCGAAGGAGAGAGAGAAACAGAAAGAGGGATGGGAGAGAGAGAATGAGGGGGAAGGAAGAATGAATGAGCAAATGCTTGTATCCAATTGAGGCAATGTCTAGGAGGCAATGTCTAGAACATTTCCCAATGTTCCTCCTAATTGTTGGGAAATCACATCCAAGGAGAGTGGCCCACAACCCACATAGTGGCTCCATCTTGTAGTACAGGGAGGGCCTTCCTTGGTGCCCCTGACCAGTTCTAAGTTATGTTCTTTTGCTTTCCCCCAAGGGATTTTTCTGCAAAGAAGAAAAAGACTTTGATAACTGGTGTAGTCTTGTTCAAAAGGTAAAGATATATGTTTTTCTTAATCTTAAAAACAAAAGTTATTCAACGTGATTCATTTTCAAGACTTTTTCATAGTAACATAAACCTAGCCTGATATGACTCTACTGCAAGAGAAAGAAACTCAAATGTGGTAAATTGCATATAACTTTGGGGAACCAAAGAAAAATTTTTGTTAGAAATATGCTTAGTAAGTCAAGTAAGCGATATTTTTAACTTCTTAAAGTTTTATCTCATTAAGCCTACAAGTCATGAAATATTTAACTAATATTCTACCATTTAACCTAAAAATGCCAATTTCATATAGCTCAGCCTAAGTTTTTTGTAATCTGTTCAGAACACTGAGATGATTGAAGAAACTGATTTACTTTGCTATTTATTTAGGTTAATGTACTGTATTCCATTTACAGTTTAATGTACTGTATTATTATGGTTTAGGGGACTTGCCTTTCTATTCACTGTCTTATTTATATAAAATATAGGCATGCTGCTACTTAAAGGAAAGACAATTTGGAGAAATCTGTGTAAATACTAAAGCAAGCTATTATTTTTTAAATATTTTGTGTAAAAGAGTAGTTATTGTTTTGCTGGATCACCAATCTTTGTATGTGCCTCCCTCATTCTCAGCTTCTAACACATGCCAAATATGTGAAAGACATTGATAAACGCTTATTGAAAAAAAATGAAGGGATATCATAGGCAGTGATGGCGAACCTATGACACCCGTGTCAGAGGTGACACGCAAACTCATTTTTTTGGTTGATTTTTCTTTGTTAAATGGAATTTAAATATATAAAATAAATATCAAAAATATAAGTCTTTGTTTTACTATGGTTGCAAATATCAAAAAATTTCTATATGTGACACGGCACCAGAGTTAAGTTAGGGTTTTTCAAAATGCTGACACGCCGAGCTCAAAAGGTTCACCATCACTGTCCTAGACTCTTGAGATGGCATTTGAGAAAAACTTAACTCTTTAACCTGTGACACGCGTGTCAGAGGTGACACGCGAACTCATTTTTTTTGGTTGATTTTTCTTTGTTAAATGGCATTTAAATATATAAAATAAATATCAAAAATATAAGTCTTTGTTTTACTATGGTTGCAAATATCAAAAAATTTCTATATGTGACACGGCACCAGAGTTAAGTTAGGGTTTTTCAAAATGCTGACATGCGGAGCTCAAAAGGTTCACCATCACTGTCATAGGGAGTAGTTTAAAGGGCCTTGGATGGGATAGCAGGAGACACAATGTTCTCCTATTTGCAAAACAAAGAGATTGGAGCCCAGAGCCTCTTGTAGGTGTAAGGAGGGAAGATTTTTCTTCACAAGTAAACAAATAATTAATACAAATGTCCCTAGCTGAATCTAAAACCCCAGTTAATAGTTAGCTGAGACATAATGGATACTTATTGTCTAAAAGCAATACTTATATTTCAGGATGCAGCAAAACTATATTTATATCACATTTAAAACTAGAAGAAAAATTTTCTGATAAGACTGTGCCATTTAAATTAGGACATATACTGTAAGTGTTGGACTAAATGGAAACCATGCCAATATGTACCAGTATTTCTCTTGGGGCAGATTTTATTTGATTAACCAACATTTCTTTGGAGCCAACACTTCAGGAACATCTCGCCCCTAAATTGAGTTGAGTCCATGCAACTGGCATATGACCTGAACCTCATGATGGAGTTTGGGCAGTGAGTACTGGCCTTCTATCAGATACTCCCTCCATTGGCCTTCCCTCCTGGCCAACAGTTTTAGAATTGAAGAGGGCTGGGTCTTTAGATGGGTCAAATAGAGGATGGGAATATTTGCTAGTTCTTTGCTTTCACCTTTCAACAATCAGGCTACTCTCTTGGGGCTTGGGGTCATAGATTGCCAATTGAACAGAAATATAGTGACTGCAGTGTTTATAGCTGCTTCTATGTCTCCTCAGGAAATTCTAAAGGAAAACTTAAGGATGTTTGAATTAGTTCAGAAACATCCATCGCACTGGCCTCCCTTTGTACCTCCAGCCAAACCAGAGGTAACAACCACTGGGGCAGGTAAGTGTTTGTTCAGGGGCCCTTCAGCCAGCAGACCCACGTGTAGCAATAGGTTTATGAGATAAAAGCAATCATCTGGACCAATCAAGGAATGGTGCTTCTGATTATTTAAATCCTCTGATGAACTGATACTGATGTCAAAGAATGATAATAGCAGAAAATGAGCTTAGTGCAAAAGTTCCATATAAAATCAAAATGACTAGACATTTTTTTTCATAGTCTGGTTCAGAATAACAAATCAGAGGCCATGGGTGAGTCAAAAGGTGCCTCCAAGTTCTTACAGAACCTCCTCATCACGTGAATAGGACTATGTAATAAGTCTGGTTATTTTGATTCTTTAGAGAGAATTTCTAATAGTTGGCAGTGGTCCTATCTGTAAGTCTCCTCCACGAAAGCTTTTCTTTAGAAAAACAATTTTAAAATGCATAGTCTTCTCTACTGAGTAATGTATTGACTGTTTTAACTTAAGCATCAAGCTTTTCTTCTTTCTCATTTTTGTATTCTCACAGAATTCATTGACTCTACTGAACAACTAGAGGAGTTTGACTTGGAGGAAGATTTCGAGATTCTGAGTGTATAAAATAGTAGGAACTCAACCTTAAGATTTGTCTTCCATCTGGCACCAGAAGAACATGAACTCATTACATAAAACTTTTGTAGTCAGCAAGTGCCTGTTATGCCAACAGCATACAAACTTGATAGCAATCAATCATGACTGAGCCAATCACCGCTTCTCAGAAAAAACATTTAACAATCCTCTCCCAGAAAGAACTAAAACAATCATGGGATCTAGGAGCAGAAAGATTAGGAGCCATTCTTTGCTTCTCAGCTTGTCTTACTTGGCCATAGTGACTCTGCCACTACTGAAATGAGGAGGTGGACTTCTGGAAGATAGACAGCAACTCCCACCTTGCTTCAAGCACCAGCAGATGAGAAATGGTTACCCGTGCTTCCGCACCCTTTTAGGTGTGACCTCTTTTGGGCTAAATACTAAGAAGCAGTCTGTTCTTTTGCTCTAATAATAAAGTGATTACACCAGGGAGAAAAAGCTCTTGTTAAATTATTTGAATATGTATTTTAATTAATTATAATTAATATCAAAAAGTTTGTCTAAGAAATTATGTCAGATGTGGACTTATTGATCTCCTGACTCTTTGGGGGAACCTTACTAGTTAATGGGTCACTGTTCCCTTCTTTACTGATACTTTTGTCAGACATCACCCTGTCCTTAAATGAAATCATGATCACTTAGGTCAAGGGTCAGCAAACTTTTTCTGTAAAGGCCAGATAGTAAATGTTCCAGGCTTTGTAGGCCATGTCGTCTCTGTCTCAGCTACTTACTAGTAACTGTGCTGTTGGAAGTACAAAAGCAGCCATAGACAATCTGAGCCTGGCTGTAAACCAATAAAACTATATTTAGAAAAATAGGTGGATGGCAAATTTAACCTACAGTCTGTAGTTTGCCAATCACTGACTTAAAATGTTGATTTTTGTTTGGGAAATTAAAAAATCATGTTTGAATTAGACTCCATTTTGTTTGACAGCCTTATTAGAAAGAATTATTCATGTGGTCACCTTTAATCTGTGTATCATATACAATTCCAAACCTTTTAAGGACTAGCAACATACTAAATTTTAAAGCACATTTTCCTATTGTCTTTGCCACCAACTCTCCTTTGTGGTTGCACCTCAAGTCCCAGCGGTGTCTTCCCTGTTTCTTCTTGCCCTCTTAACCTGTATGCATTTCACTTGCATCTCAACCAAGTTGTGAGGAAGGCCAGCAACTGGGGTTTGAAAGCTAGCATCAAGCCAAGGTGTGTTTCTTGTATATTTAGAAATATTATAACACTTGTTTCCTTAGATTCCAAATTTTCCTCTTTTTTCCCCCAGTAGGTAATATATTCCAGTGGTTCAAAATTCAAAATATTCAAAATGGTATTCAGTGAAATGTCTCTTCCTCCCAAGTGTTAGTTCTGTTCCCTGATGCTCCTGTTGTTATTAATTTTTATCTTTCCAATGGATATATTTTATACTATACAAACATATGCATATATATCTTAGATTTGATTTTAACAACTTTAGCATTTCTCTACTGTTGATTTATTTGAAAATGATCCTGAGGTACCAGAAGTATGTGAACTCCTTTCTTGAACTCTAGCATGGGACTAAAAGCAGTTATAGGCTTATTTGAAACAGGTTTTGGGTTTATTGCCTGTTAGAGGACTCTTTCTGTTCTTTGACTTTAATTGTATTTTTTCCTGTCTCAATGTTTTGTTATAAAGCTCAATTTGTAGTAACAGGAGCCCCCATGGCTCCAAGGGAGACTCATTAATTGTAGTGAGATGGACTTTAGAAAAGTTTTCATCAAAGAACATCAAGAGTCAATTGTTCATGCAAAATTCCTTTTATTTGCGATGTACAGAGCTGACAACCATGTTTTTTACTCAGAGAGGAGGTGAAGATAACAATAATTCAGATTATACCAATTATGTTTTGTTTAAGTTGGCACAGTTTACATAATATTTAAGGAAACAGAATCATCTGGAAGGAATTGCCTCATGTCAACATATCTAAGTGTTCTGGGAAACTGATAAAATGGTTAAAACAAATCCCCCAAACAGAACACAATACACTTTATAGTTGACTCAGGCTTGCTTTAGGTCTGCTAACTGCTAAAGAGAGGAGTGTGTTAGATTTTTATGAGGTTTTAAAAATATTAAAATAGCTTAACAGGCTACCTGTAAAAGAGCAATTGGAAGGACATTTTAATGGAAAGTCTCTTACAGCCTCAAAATGCAAAGGAATCAATAAACTGCAGCTTCAGCTTGCCACATTACACACATCTGGATAGCATTTGGATGAAACGGGGACTTCTGAGAAATTGGGACAAGGGATTTACCTTTTTGCTCCTGGAGTCAAAAGTAAAATTCACACCTCCTTACCCACCCACCCTTCTACCCATGGCCTGGGAGAAAGGGCCGTGGTTCTCATTTCCCTTTATGGGCCTGGCCACATTTGGTGCATCCTCCACTCTGCTCTGGACCCGGCCAAGTAATACTGGTAGGTCTCGGCCTGGAGAGGGAGTTGGCAAGAAGGATGTGATTTGTCTAGCACCATATGAAGTTAATGAGTCCTTCTTGGCTTCTGGCCTTCAAACCTCCCTAAGCAATATGGGGTCCAGTCGTGCTTACTCTCGAAGGAGTCAAAGCTCATCCTATTCTACTGGCTGGCACCTCATTCTATCTCTGCTGCCTGCCTAGACACAGTGGGTTTTCTTGAAGGGTGAAGGCTTGTTCTATGCAGGCCTGAGTCATCCATGAATACTTAGCCAGGTATATATTTTTTTTTCATGTGGAAACACTTGGTTCTGGTTTAAGCCAAATAATGTGTGGTGACCTCTGGACATAAAGAAATGACTTATCAGTTATTATAGAACCACTTTGTGATCAAAATGGTGAGGAAAGCTAGCAGCTTTCTAAGAAACTAGCAGCCCAGCAGGTCTTTCTGAGGTCACGCAAATATCCGAATCAAACAGTAGTGCCAGGTTGACTGAAATGGGACAGCAGATCTCAGCAGGGTGGGCTCACCCATTAGGCCTGAGGGTTGGGGTGACCAGTATCCAGTAGTCCAGCCCAAATGAGACTCCAATGTGCAACTTTTCAGATAGGAAAATGGGCTTAGGCCTTTCTTCTTCAGATGGTTTGGGTTTTTGAGGTGACTGTTCTGTGGAGGAAGGGACAGCAAGGGGCAGAATGGCAGGGGCCACCCTACAGGCTTTTCATACACACCTGGCAGCGGCTGACTCGTGTGTGGAGCTGCCCAGCTTTCAATGTTTCTGGTACAGGTTCCTCCCGAAACTGCTGCTTCTCCTCCACTGTTGTCAGCCAGAAACTGTACTTGTTGGCAAAGTAGTGGCAGGTACCCCGGGCACCACTGCACTCAATGAAAGGAGTGGCTCGAAAATCCTCTAAGCAGGAGCCAGGTGAGACGAGGGACTGGCCTCCACCCTCGGTGCCAGCGGCAGTGTGCTGAAACAGACAGGGGTGAAGTGTGAGCTGGGCCCATGGGAGATGATGGACACTCTGCTGCTCCAGGAGGAACATGTGCTTCCTTCTTAAACTCAGGCCCCTTGGCTCATCCCTAATGTCTAGCCAGCAGACCAAAGGCTGTATTTCTGGACCTAGGCTGCTCATCCTCCTTTGTAGTAGCCTCAGGGCCAGTAGATCCTTCCAAGATTCCTGGTGTCCACCCAACCCACTGCGCATGGGCTGCGACCACATCTCAGCCAGTTTCCCAAACTGCTGCCGCCCCACAGAGTTCTGAGGAGTGCTCAGTGTGTCCCCCCACCCCCAATTCCATGAGCAAATAAGTGTTAGGCTGAATTAAGGAAAAAATCAATAGGTTTTGGAATGCAGCTCTTCTCAGAGCCCGTCTACTTCAAGCCCCAGGTGGTGTACACCAAGAAGGAAAAAAGCATGCAATACTTCACAAAGTGGTTAAACCATTGGTCCCTCCCCCAACATATCTATTAATAGCTCTGAATTTACCTTCATTAGAACTTATATTTTCAATCTGTACCACAACCTTTAGAGCGAGATATTGTGTTTGTTACCTGCTATGTACATGTAGGCCTCAGATTTAGCCTAATATTCTGGCCCCTCACTTCAGGAAGCTCCTGCAGCACCCAGTTCCAGGATTTCCTCATCAGTGTCACTCATGAGGCAATAATCTTTGGTCACAATATCTATAGACAAAAGACCCTCTCTCCATCACTTCAGCTGGGTTATTATCTGGACCACATCAGGTGGGGAGGCCTCATACACACCCAGGTCAGGAAATGGCCAATGGGACAGATGCCCAGGTTGGACACACAGTAACACATTACTTTGCAGAACTTTGGGGAAGTGTGTCTCCATAAAAATGACCTTTCCTAATAAATGAAGTATCAAAGTGTTCCTCATTTTGATCATCAGGTAAGGCTTTCTAGCATGAATGACACATTACCCTGCCTTACTAAACAGCAGACACTGTATTTTACACTTTACAGATGACCCAGGCTTGTTGCTATGAATGTTGGTTTTTGCTTTGGAGGATAATGCAGGGACCCTGTACAAAGAGACACAAATTGTAGACTTTTTGGGTGGCCTTTGAATTGTTTTCTCCCTCTTTTCTCCCTTTTAGTAGGCAAGTCTCATTGCTTCCAGATGCCTTAATAGGCAGTCCAAATTCCTATCCTTACATGTTTTCAGAAAAATATAATATTCTAGTATGTTAGAATTATGTTTACAGTAAGAGTAAAGAGATTCTGAATAAGGGCTTAAGAGCACCCCCATGAGCAAAGCACATGATACTTCGTACATAACTTTTCTACCATTCCTTTTGGAAGCTCAGTGGACAGGACTAAGATTGATAGGTGAGTAATTCTGTATTACACTGGGACAAACTGCCCAATTCACAAAGACTGCAGTTTGGTAATTCTTTGAAGATACTCTCTCACCACCTCACCCCTGGTGATTTAGCGAAGAAGCTCTGGTGAAGCAGGTACTTCAGGGGGTTCACACTGATTTGCTCTGGGAGTTTTCCTGTCCCTAAACCTGACCTTTAACTCATTTAATGTGCCCACTTATTCATGGAATGTCATGTGAAGGACTTGATGCTGTCTTGGACTTACAGATGTTCTCAGCTCTTTCTTATCAAGATCCAGCGTGGCTGGCCATTGCCTTCCCATCAAAATGGCAAAGCAGCAGAAATCCCAGCAAGGACATGGAAATACAACATGCCCTCATCTGAGCTTTTTTGGAGGAGGTGGCTAGAGGGAGTGTGGGCACAAGAATGGGAGTGGCATGCCCAGACTGACCAGTGAGAATGTGTCCCAGCCCTAAGTAGGGACAGCCTGTCCCTCACTGTCCATCCAAATTGTGTGGTTCCTCCTCCTTCCCTTGCTTATGGCATAACTGAAGCAGGCATAAAGATGTCAGGGCTTGTGCTGGTGATTCATAGGCATTCTCACCCAGAACCACTGGGTGCAAACTGTTCCTTTATGCTCAC